AAGTGGTTGAGTTAATTGTCCTGTCAGTCCACACTTATATATTTATGTCTTCCACTTTTATTTACACTTCTCACAAAAAAAATGAGCAAAATAAAGATGTTCTTAACTGAATCTCAGCCTGAGTAGGTTAAGTCCATGAAATTTTGGTTAATCTCAGCCTGAACGTTCACATGAATTATGGTCTTTTTGTCCAAGTCTTATCGTCCAAAACTTTATTCATCTAAGTCAGTTCGTCTAATTGTTAAGTCTTTTCTCGAAGCAAATAAATAACTTCTAGAGGGTTATATGAGGTTTTAGTATAATTTCAGAGCTGAGCAAAGAGTTTCCAGCAATCTGATTGGTTGAGCGGTTCCTTATATGACGCTATATAAACTGCTCCACATGGTTTATATAAAATGTTAAAAGAAATTGTTAATAAATGATATGATTTTAGAAATTTCTCTGTTGTTCAGCTCTGAAATTATACTAAAATAATTATTCGCCTCAGGTTCGGTGAATATTGTCGAATAACCCCCGAGACGAAGTCGAGGGGATTATTCGACGATATTCACCTCGCCTTCGGCGAATAATTGTTAAATATAAAGAACTTATTAGTACGAGCCGTTTCCATTTTGGTTCCGATAGCTTTAGTCACCATCCTCGCTTACGAATTCAACGTCGTGAATTAAGATAAATACACAGAGAAGATTTTGGGTCATTTTTGGCTTAGTTTTATTTCTTTATCGTGTTGGACTATGTTGTTGGTTATGTCGGACATCTAGTGATGTTACACTTAACATAACAGACGCTTCACAACAAGCCTAATATTCCCTTTTTTTTGCGCGAAATAATTAAACGGCAAGCCTTTATTTTTGTCACTATCTATTAAAATATACTGCGTTACAACTTAATTTAAAATAATGTTGTAACTTTAACGAAAAGACTTCGACGAAAAGATTCTTGGACGAAAAGACCGGATACCGTTCACATAAAAAAAAGGTTCTTACAATAAGAAAAAAAAAAAAGAGGAACCTGAAAAGATAAGGAAAATTGTAATAGATCTTGGATAATTGTAATAGATCTTGGACGTGGAAGGGTTAAATAAATAAGCAAAATCAAAATAGAGCATAATTGAACTTACGCGTATGTTGTAGCGCCGTACTAATCTGCACAGCAACATCGTGGCCGACTTTGCCAGTTGCAGAAAATTTTTCCAGGTTTTTAACCAAATCCTCTAGTGTAGGTTTAATATTTTGCATTTCAATAAACTCTAACAACATTGTGACGTGTTGGTCATTCACTTTCAGTCCCCTGGTCAGGAACTGCGAAAGCAAGCTTTTATCCACATTATCGTCCGTTCGGATGCTGTACGAAGGTAGTGAAGTAGCGTGCTTGACGTTCTTCGAAGATTTCGACGCGTGCAATTCGAATTCCACTCTCCACCAAGGATAAGAAAAACGCTCATCAAATCTACCACGTACATAGGTTGTGCCCCGTCCAAGGCGAAATCGACCGTTTTCGACTTCCATTTCTTGCATTTTCTTCACACCATTGCGAAGTTTGTGCGATGGCTTATGAACGAAGTCAAAATCTTGATCAGCGTCTTCGAAGCCTTCATCGTCACTTTCACTCTCGAAATCAGAATCTCCTTGCTTCTTGTCGCTGTCTTTTTCCTCAGCAATAACGTAAAAGGAAGTCATAGCATGAGCGATCTCAGTTTCAAATAAAAGTTATAAACCATTTAGGTACCTTTAAGCTACCGCACTGCTGATAAAAATCCCTGACGAAGTTTCGCGCGCAAACATCACAGCGCGCTCTCAGTATTAATGAGCTATGTTTGTACTTGGGGGTATAGAGTGGGGGACATACCTTGTCTAATCAAAAGGTCGTCAATAAATCGCCCTTTTTTCTATAGTCGGTTTTATTTATGATTATTTTACCAGAAAATTGACGACTTCTATCAAATTTTTCTTTCTCTCTTACACTGTTAAACACGGAAAATGTTATTTTTGTTCCATTCCTACATTTATCTCACCCCCTAGACGTATCCTTTTCGTTACATTGATACTCGAAGTAATCTTAGCACTGTGACGTCAAACGATATCACCTAACTGACCTCATAAATTTCACTATCAAACTGCGTAGCTAATTAACTACAGGCCTCGACAAGAATCGGTTAGTGAGAAACTACGTTTGGTTGTTGAAGTATGTATACAGAAACTTGAGAATTCAAATCAAGATTGATCCAGCTGCGAACTCTCCGAAAGCTTTTAGAACGTGACAATTGCTAAGAATTTCTGCGGCACGCGTAGAAGAGATCGTTTTTCTTGCAACCAATTGGTCCCATCGCAAAACATCAACGAAATGCAAGCACGTTTCATTATCTACTTGTTGATTTTGGTGATAATCACGGAAGGCGAGGCATGGAGAAGGAGAAGGAGAAGGCGCTGGACTCCACCGCCGCCTCAAAACTGCGTTGTCTCCGGTGAGTGAAACGGAGAAAAACATTAGTGTTGTGTTTATATGCTAGTCAGTGGTCTAATCTATGCCCATCTTCTAGAAATATTTCCTTATCTAACAGCCGAGTTAAACCGTTCAGGCTACTTTCATCGGCAAAAGAGATCATAGACCACTTAACAAAAGAGTTTAAAAGTTTTGAAAACTAGTTTAAAACTTAATTGAAATTTTTTGTCGTACAACTTTTTTGAGTACTAGTTTTATTAGTGAATGCAGCAATTTGAGGTTTAAAGGCGAGATTGAATACTTCGAAACCAAAACTTATCGAATTCTCTGAGTACTAGTACGATTTGAATTGGCTTGCAAGAGCAGATTCTCCCTCGCGATATTTTTTCTTGAACAAAATCGACGTAAACCGTACTGACGATTCCACTTCTCTTTATTGTTTTTGCATATAATTCGTGTCCGCATAATTGGTCACGGAAGTTTATTTTGGGATTTCCTCGATCTAGCTACACGAAACATTTAGTTATTCCTTTAAAGAGTAATTTCGTTCCAATCGACGGCACTGGTCATCACTCCGTGTTACTTATGATCAGTTCCCTGCTTGGTTTATTGAGTTTTAAAATACCCTTAGTGGGAATACAGTTGGGTTTCTGGGAGTTTCTTGGGGGAGGTAAATTGGTGGTGCTGCCATGGAAGCGCAGAAGGATGGAGACTCTGAAAGATAGAAATTTCACGATGAAATATTCAATAGCTTTTTACCCCCTTTTTTTTTTTTTTTTTTTTTTTACAAAACCGCAAACGGAAAATTCCTCCTAAAGAAACGGTTTTAAAATGAATTCAACATTCAACATTCACGGCAATGAACCATCCTTTTTATCTCATTTGGCGTAGAAGTATAATTCTTGGCATGAAATTTGTCGCAACAAACCAGAGCTTTATTCTCTTTTCAAGACTTCCCTTTGCCCTGTTGGAGTGTCAACCTTGCTGTGGTTTACACAAGGAAAAAGCACTGTAGGATATTGACAGACTAAATACATGAGCTGTCACTTGAAAGTGACAAAGCAGAATGCTAATTTATTTTTGGTAATTATTGATGAAATAATGTTAACTCTCTAAATGCAAGGAAGTTGTTGTATGTACTATCTACAATAATTTTAGCCTGTACGTCGCAAGTTGATCATTAGAGATCTGACAATCTAGAACTTGCATGACAACAACATTGGAACTATTTGAGTGTATTTGTTTTCATAAGCTAATAATAGATGACGGGTGATTAACAGGTTCTTTAATAGTGCTCTTACTGGTATTTGGATTTCATTTTTAAGAGGATGTATTTTTGTTTCCTTCTAAATGTTTTTTTTTTCCTTGGCAATGAATGTGCGGTGTTTTAATTGATCTCAAGATTTGATCTTTGTTCGTTACGTGGTAAATATATGCATGTGACGTTTGTACGGAGCTGAGATTATCATTGTTGTTTGAAACAATACTACTTGTTTTGACGATGTTGCCATTAGACGACGATGTTGCCATTAGACAACAAAGTCTATATTGTTTTGTACGACTACAAATGGCTTGCTGAAATATCAATTTTTGCACACTCTTATTAACAAATCGTTAATTTGTAATTAAGAATAACGTAAAAGCCAACTCTCTTTAAAGCATTAGGAAATCAAGTAGATTTGATATGTTTTGTTTGAAATTGTCAAGAAGCAGTTATGTAATGTATTGATTCTGCGCATGGGTTTAAAATAAGGCATTTTCTCATCGCTGCATCATAACAAACATTCCTCATTTAAAAGAAATAGTGATTATAGTCAATCTTCTTTAAAGCATGAGAAAAAAAAATGATACTGAATTATGCATTTTCAAAGGCAGATAATTGCTACCTACTTAAAGAATCATCCTTGTGTGTCATCCATTGTTTATTTTTTCCTTTTTTAGAGGGGTTGTTTTATGTTAAAAATCAACTCAGAAGTTGCTCATTTTCTTATAATGTATAGACCTTGGTTTAGTGCATTTACCCTTTGACTTGTATTTAAAAATTTTTTAAAAGATGTCTAAGTTTTAGCTTTGGTATTTTGTTTTTTTAGCAGCAGGTTGTTACAGAAATGTTGAACAATAAGCATATAGGAACTTCCTTTGTTTTTGTGGACAATCAAATCAATGAAGTGAAACAGCTGGAAAGAACCTTGTTCTGTTTCAAATGAAAAATTTGTTAATTAGATCATTAAGTTACGTTTTATGTACAGTTATCAGCTTTGATTCTAGTCTTATGGTGAGTAAAAATGAAGAATTAAGTATTTATGCAAACATGTCCCTCGGTGTTCAGGAAAAAAAAAAACAATCTTATACAAATGTATCCAGAAAATAAAACTAAACACTTTGAAGTTATGTGCAGTTTTAGAGCCCCCATGCATATCAGATGTTCTAATTTCAATTCAGCTAGAAGTGATTGTAAAGAAAGGTATTAAGCCACGACATCAGTGTGCTCAGTGTTTTTCTCATGGTGGCTTGACAACAGTGTGATAAGTGTTTTTAAGGCTTAACTGCCTCCTATGGAGGCGAAGCCATAATGTTGTCGTATTGAGTGATTGTATCAATAGAATAAGAACAACCTCTTTGCCCACAGCAAAGTCTGCAGAGTGTTACCCAATATTCCTCACTCTTGGCTTTTGTTTGTTTCAGAACATCTTCAGTCTTTCAATGCTTGGTGACAATTTCTTCTGATCACTTCTAATGTTACTCAGAATTAACACTAGCCTCCTGCGCGGATGTTCTGGACAATGCCTAAGAATGTCTGCGCAGGAGGCTAAATTAGCACATGATCACACACTGTTTTCTGGTGCTACAAATTGTTTACTTTGGAAAACTACAGAGGGTAATAAACATCTCACATTTGTTTCAGGGTGGCATGCAAAAAAAAACAAAGCTCTATGTTGCAGAAATGTCTTCAAAGTGGGTGTGATTGGTGAACTTAAAGGAAATTTTTTTTTTGAAGATGAGCATTTTTCTGCTTGAATCAGGGAATTATGCCTTGTAGATCCAAAGATATGATTTTTTCAGTTCTTGCCGTGACACCACAAAAGATGATAAACATCTCAAATTAGTTTCGCAGTAGCATCTTCAGCACTTAATCAAAAAAAGACTTTTCCTTGCAGAAATATCTAAAAATAAATTTGATCAGCAGATTTTAGAAACTTTATAGAAAAATTTTATATATTCAAAAGAGAGTGTTTTTCCATTTCAATTAATCTGCTTCCTACCCCAAAGAGCAAAGTGAAGCAAGCAAGGTCCGAAATATGATATTGTGAGTTTAAAGGGTGATGCTATTCAATGGAATGAGGGAATGATGGCATATCCTACAACACAGAGTGCCTTTTAGTATGAAACAAAAGTCTCACAAAAATGGAATTGCAATGAAAAATTTAAGAAAATCAACAGAAATTTAAACTAAAAGAAGCCTAGTTTTATCATTATTAGAGCTTAGAAGATAGACTGATAGAGGAACAGTGAGGTTCTTCAGCTATCTAAGTTATCATTGCTATTAATGTTGTTATCATTATTATTACCATTATCATTATTATTATTATGATTATTTGTTATTATTTAATTATTGGTTGAGTGTCAGTTAGTCACTTTATTTTTGAATCATCTTTCTCTTGCAGAACAGGGTACTAGTCATACATATGTGGGATGTGGCAGCAGTAGCTATATGCTGTGTTAACTGCCTATTTTTCTCATGTTGCCTGTTTCTGTTTTTAAGTTTTAAGTTTTTGTAAATTTTAACTTGGGGCATTCAAAGAAATCGGTGAAGATTTTACTTTCAAATTTCCAGATCCTTAGAAGCAACATTTGTCTTTTGGCAACGAATCTTTGAGTCTTCCTGATATACTTTGACTTATTTGCATTTAAGAATTACTGTCAGTTAAAATATACTTTTATTGAATTTTGGTAATATTTGTAATGCTAATTATACTTGGAAGGGATGTAAAATATTCTCTATAATCAACTATCTTAAGTTTTCTATTTGTACCTATCTACAGTTAACACTGGTACAGTTGCAAGTTAGAATTAATTTGGGGCCTCGTTTTTAACTGGTGGGGGGGGATTACAATCTACCCAGGGAAGACTGGTATGCATCCGTCACACTCTCTGAAACCTTTGGAAAGTAGACCAGAAATTGCTTCAATGCTTAAAATAATTGCTCCTCATTAGCAGCGTTTGCTAATTTCAATAACAGTATATTCATATTCAATAAAGTCATATTCCAAGTAGTACAATGGACAGGCCTTTAGAAGCAGTCATTTTCAATTTTAAGGAACTTACAAGAACTCCATTTTGTGAAGTGTGAAACAGTGAAATCGATTCAGACACCTCGCTCTGTCAGAGTCTGTCTCCACAAAGGGTATATAATTTAATGTTACTGAAAAAAATTTCTAAAACTTATTGATTAAAATGGGTTGTAGCTTACAATGTACCAGAGATGAACCAGCATCCTGTATCAGTTATAATGCTCTCAATCTGCTCTGTGCCAAAGTCTAAAACTGTAATGAACTCTCTAATAAAGGTTCAGAAAACAAGACAGATAATAAGTCTTTCTCTCTCAATTCCCTTTCAAATATATTTTGTCATGAGACAATTCCCATTTGGTCTCAGGCATTTAGGAAGAGGGCACTAAAAAATCAATAGCAACTATTGAAATCGAAGGAAAATGAATGCAATTAATTTTCGCACAGGGTGGAGCTCATGGAGTACCTGTTCACAGCAATGCCATATTGGAACCCAAAGAAGGACACGTACTGTCACCACTGGTGCTAGCTGGGGAGGCTCTTGTCCATATCATTTGTCTGAACAAAAATCATGCGGTGTAATCAATGGAGGATGTGATCAGCTATGTAACAATGGGGTGTGTTCTTGTCAATCAGGCTACACACAGTCAGGTACAGACTGATCTTTTTGCACTATTGTTTTTTCCCCTCTGTTTAAAATTGTGTCTTCATATGATTTAGTGGACTTTGTATGATAGTTAGAATTATCAACTGAAAGCTTTAATTATTTGTGGAAGTATTATGCCACTATTGTCAGGATATAAAGAGTTACGCATAAATAATTAAATGATAAAATTTATTGTTGATTCCTCAAATATACTTAATATGTTATTTAAGTTTTTACATCTTTTTTTTTTTTTAATTTGTCAATAGGTAGCAAATGTTATGATATTGATGAGTGTGCACCAAATGGTGGTAAGGGTCCATGTAGTCACATCTGTACAAACCATGATGGCTGGTATAGCTGCCAATGCCCTACTGGATATTATCTAGCCACTGATTCCAGAACATGTCATGCCTTTGATTGTGGCAGCCCTGCTTCACTTTTCAATCCATGCCCACAAGACTCTTACAGTGACCACATCTCCTCTGTTTGTCGCCAAGTTAATGTAAACTGCTTGCAAGGAACAACCTACAATGAACAGTGTTCATTAACCTGTCCTCAGGACTATGCACTTGCAAAGATTTTTGCACAGCAGAACAAAAAATTTGGTGAGGATTATTCCAAAGTTGACTTCTCCTCTGTGACTTCCATTCTAACTTGCCAGAAAACACAAAACTGGCAGACCTCAGATGTTTGGGATGTACTGGACAGTAATCTTAGGAATTACTACTGCAGACGCAAAAATGACCCCCCTAGAGACTTACTTCTAAAGGGGACTGTTCTTTTAGAACACGCACCTGTAAATAGCATTATTGGAACTTTAAGTTCTCATGATGCACAGCCAGGACAGACTTTTATGTATACAGTTCAACAACCCAATGACCTTCTAGTGGCTCAAGGAGATAAGTTGATAAATGTATGGGACAATCCAGTTCTAAATGGGAATGTGACTTTAATCCAAGGCAAATATTTAGCAGTAAAAATAAGATCAACAGATGATGGAATGCCTCCCATGTGGCTGGAGAAGACTTTTCAAATAACAGTTCAGAATGTGAATGATCCTCCTAAGCAGGTCAACCTTTCAAATTCTGTCATCTTTGAGAATGCAACTTTAGGAACCGTGATAGGAGAGCTGACAGCAGTAGATGGAGATGACCCACCAAACACTCATCTCCATGCAAATTTTAAGTGGGGGCTGATTAATGATGCAAATGGAAAATTTGGTATCACCGCGAATAAGGTCACAGTTGCCCAGAATTTGGTACCAGGATTGTACAAGATAATTGTTAGTTGTACAGACTTTGGAAAACCAGCAGAGCAAACCACAGAAGATTTCATCATAAATGTGATAAATGTTAATGACATCCCACAAGCTTTAATGCTGACAAGTACCACTGTACATGAAACAGCTCCTGTAAACACAATTGTAGGTCAACTTGTTGCAATTGACAAAGATGGTGATGACATCTCCTTTGACATCAGCCAATCAGATGTGATGACGTTGAATAAATTTGACATAGCTAATGCCCAGTGTGCAAATAATGGGCAAGGATTAGAGAAAGAGTGCAAAGTGAATGTCACAGTAAAAGCTCCTTTGAATTACGAGAGGAAATCATGGTACAGGCTGAATGTCAAAGCTAATGATTCTCAAACACAGGTGTTCAAGATGTTCAACATTGAAATTATCAATGACAATGAGGCTCCAACAACTATCACTCTGACAGGGTCACACACAGTGTTGGAAAACTCTGTTGCAGGAACAGTTGTTGGACAGTTTGTGGTATGTACACCTCTGCTGTTTGGTTTTTTTTATTTTTAGTGTAATCAGCTGTCTTCACAGTTTGCACTCTTTAGGTGCAAAGCTTTACAACTTAATTTTATGAAGCATAACCTGACAGAAGATCTGTCTCAAACAAAGTAGAATGGTGACTCTAATTTTAAGGTGTTATCTTGCTTTGGAGATAATATGACATTTTGCACAAGTCAGTTCCACAGGCCATGGGTCTTGTCCCTCATAAACCAATATGCATGTAGAACATAATCATGGTCTGATTTTAGTCAGCTGTTGCTCTTATGAGGCAAATGACAGTACTAATGATAGAAAAACCAATTTCCCCTAAAGGATCTTACTTACCAGAGCCAAGATTTCAGTGCTTGATATAGATTAGTCTTAGATATTGATTTATAATGATTGTTTTATTCACTTTTTTTCTCAGGTCACTGACCCCGATAATGCAAAGTCACCATCACATCAGTCTCACACATGTTTATTTGACGTCAATCATCCCAGCGATGAAAGTTATTTCATCATCAGTACAGGACTTGTTTTGAAAGTGAAAGGAGCCCAGCAGATTGATTATGAGAACATGAAAACTCTTTCATTTTCTGTCTTATGTACTGATAGTGGGCATCCATCTAAGTCACTGTCTACTAGTTTTTTCATATCAGTGAAAGGTGAGTGGTGAATGGTTCTTTCAGACACCTGCTCTTCTGAAGTTTTTACTTTTCCTCCATCCATTCTTTTTTTTTTATCCCCACCTACCTCACTTTATTTTATAAAAAAATATTTTTTTGTACCCCTTTTGTTCTTTGGTTTCTTTATTTATGCTTTGTTTTGTACATTTGTTGGCCCACGTATTCACTCATTAGCAATTTGCCCCTCTTCCTATCTCTCCTTCCTATTTGCCTTTCTTCCTCCTTCCCCACCTCCCCTTTCCCCACCTCTTCTTTCCCCACCTCCCCTTTCCCCACCTCCCTTTTCCCCACCTCCCCTTTTCCTTCGACGTCCTTACTTTCGACGTCCTTACTTTCCTTGTTGCTAGGCTGTGAGACCTCACCTTCCCATTCCTCTTGATTCACTTCCCTCCCTTCTCTTCCCTTCCCTTTCACCAAACTCTCCTCTGCTCCTCCCTCCTTTTCCATTTTTCCATTCAGTTTACCCTCCTATCAACCACTTAAAACTCATGGAAATATAGCAAACAAAGTGTCATACATTTGATATTCTTCAGATGTCAATGAGGCTCCGGTCAACCTTACATTGTCCAGTACAAATGTGGATGAAAACTCTCCCCCGGGTACTCCTGTGGGGAGCCTTTCCTCAGACGATCCAGACCAACCTGGAGGTGTCCACACCTATACCATTGTGGGACCTGCTGGTGTACCATTTACCATTGGAGGAACAAACAACAGGGCGCTCCTTGTAAATGGTACCTTGGATCATGAAACAAAACCCATTGTCTTGGTCATTATCAGGGCGACAGATAATGGAGGACTTTTTGTGGAAAAAACCTTCAAGATAACCATTAATGGTCAGTTCTTTTTGAGGGAATGTTTGATTTTCAAGCAAGAGTGTCACAACTTGTATTGTATAAGAAGGGGGATGAAACAAGGGGGTATATAATGCAAGCTTTTTCCGAGTGTCTTCTATCTGTCTCTGCTCCCTCTTCCCTTGTTTCCTCTTAGGCCAAAAGGTCTGTATCAACTTAAGCCAAAACAATAGTGAATTTTGCCTGTAAGGTATTTGAAACTTCTCAGGGAAGAAAGTATCTAAACGCTGAAGCATTTCAAGCTAGGAAATCCTTAATGACAACTTCTCAATATAGAGTGCGGTAAATAGCATTTTGATTCAGTGTCATAAAACCAAAACCAAAGTATCAAACAGGCTGATTAGAGAGGTTGAAGTATGAAATAAGGAAATTCTCTAAAGCTTTGGGAAAGAGCAAGTCACTGAGCAAGTTATTGAAAAACTGGTGCAATCATTGATTACTTTTGGCATTCGACTGTAATGATTGTGTGTTTACCCTTGCCTCTTATGATCTCATCTTTCTGAATCAAACACTTTCCAATTATTTCTTGCTTATATCAATAGATATCAATGATCCTCCAAGCAACCTTTCCCTTGAAACACCATCAATGGAAGAAAACAGCGCCAAAAGAGTGCTCATTAGTTCCATAATACTCACAGACCAAGATGGGGACCTTCCTTCCTGTAGACTGTTGGACGACGCTGGTGGGCGTGTCAGCGTTGTGGGCACAAATCTGGTTGCAGGACCTACCTTGACTGATTATGAATCAGCTCAACTGCCATCAACAAAAGACATCAGTATTAAATTGAATTGCTCTGATGGTCATGGGATGTTCATTGCAAAACATTTTACCATTAAAGTTATGGGTAAGTGGACAGTGTTGGTCATGGTGGTATAACTTATCTTTTTTCTCTCTGGTATATTTAACAATTATTCCACGAGCGCGCGTTGGATATGAGATGATAGATAGCCAACGAGGCGCGTAGCGCCAAGTTGGCTATAATCATCTCATATCCAAGAAGCGCGAGTGGAATAATTGTTTTATTAAAAAAGTTAAATTAAATTATTAAATTTTATTAAATTTTAAGCTGACACGTACGCTTGCCATATTTGTAGATTATGGTATATTGGCTGATATACCATAATGGCTAAGCCAATAAAAAGTCTTGAATTACATTATCCAATGATCTAGTTTTTAATAATTGGTTTTATCCACTTGAGTTAATCAACTTTTTGAAGCTCAGAGCATTTAGATTTTCTGTCACAAGTTTGGGCTAATCATAATCTCATTAGAATACCAATTTACTTTCTCAAAGTTGGTGTCATGAAGTACTTAGTTCGTTTTATTAACAAATGGTAAACACCACAGCGTACACTATTGAGTTATAGATGCACATGGAAGGTAGGTAAGCACAAAAGAAACACAAAGCACAAAATCAGAGTCGCGCGAGGCGATAGCCGAGAGCGACTCTAACTTCTTGAGGGCTTAGTAAACCTACCAAGTGCATCCATAACTCATGGTGGACGCAGAATTGACCAATCAGAGCGCGCGCTTTACTTTGGTTATGTTGTAATAGTCATTCGTTTGTAGTTAGAATTTAGTTACCATATGGATTCAAAGTCCGAAGTTATTTAGGTTCAAGCTGTCGTGGTGAGTTTCCGGACTGTGACAGCCTTGTCTAATTTCCCGCATAAGTGGACGTGCTTCGTTTGTTTACTGACCTTGATTCGGACCCACACGAAAGCTCTTGTTTTGGCTAACTCAGTCAGAGGTTGATTCAGTTGATCGGAAGCGTGATGATTAAGTACTTTGTTGTTCATTTCGAAAGTCTCGTGAAATCGTTTGGTTTAGTGTTATAACAGCAAATGTTTAATTTCCCAAGGTCAGCCAGCTGGCATGGCCACCCATATCTATCAATAGTGAAGATGTACGCACGTTCTTTAGAGCTCACATGGTAGAGAGAGTGGAGAGCTGAGTAGACTAGAGGAATGTAGACTGTGTGCAGAAGTGTAGAGATAGAATTCCTTAGTTGAAGTGAGTGTTTAGCAGCACAAGGGCTTGATAGCTAGTTCCCCCCGACATTTGATAGCGTAACATAGGCACATGTGCTATAGAAAGCGTGTACTGAAGAACGTGGGCTCAGTGAGGCAAGATTTCTTCCCAAACAACTATGTTTAGTTTCAATTCGGGATTTTTTTTTTCAACGTTATTTGCGATTATGTTTTCCAATGTTCACATAAATTTCTCCCTGTTGTCTGACAAAAGTCTGTTCTTTTGGTTTTGTTTTGGTTTTTTTTTCGGTGGGTGGCCATATTTCCCGCGTTGTGATATTTGAGTCAATTCCATAGTTGGTTAATTCCTCAGTCTTCAGTCCACTTTAACTCCCATGAGTGACCCACAGAGAATTTCTCCTTACAATATCAATACAATATCAAGCAGACAAATGATGAGAATAAAGACAAATATCAATGAGGGGATTATTTGTTGATCCAATTCTAAATTGTCCCAACTAAAATCATAAGAATTGTATGGAAGACAGTAAGGACAATTACTGATGAGTTCATGGGAGTGAAACGGTTAATGAACATAATGAACGCAACCACCGATTTCCTACAGTATGCTACTTGCTTTCAAAAGTGGTCGCATTTGCCTATTCAGTCTGTAATTGCATTGTGTAATAGTCATGGTAGAGTAGCCTCCTTCCTTCTGGTCTGATATTTTTCACTTGTTTCTTTAATCTAGATGTGAATGAGGTGCCATCAGATATTACTTTGAGCGCCACTTCTGTAGATGAGAACAGACCCGACACAAACGTTGGTAAAGTTACAGTAACAGACCCAGACATTGGTCAGCAGCATCGTTGCACAGTGCATGACCGTGTCGTATCAGATTCTGGGAGAACAAGCAAGTTTTTCACAGTGGATGCTTCATTAAACCTGAAAACATTAACTGGGTTGAATTTTGAAGCTCATCACAGCTTGGATATTTGGATAAACTGCAGCGACATTGTGGTAGACAGTCTATTTAAGACGCAGTTGTTTACCATTTTTGTCAAAGGTAAGCCAACCGAGACCTCTCTTAATATGTTTGAATGTAAGGCAGGGAAACGGCACAACTTCAGGTTTGTTGGTAAAGCTCCTCAACAAAGTTAAAAAATGTGATCAAAGTTTTCTCTTTTGTATGACCTTTTTCCGTTTGGCTACTCATTTGTCCATCAAAATGTCATAAAGTATTTAATCAGGTCATAATTAGTTAGTCATTTCAGTATGCTTTCGTCATTCGTTTGTATTTAGAATTTGGTTACCATATGGATTCAAAGTCCCAAGTTATTTAGGTTTAAGCTGTCGTGATGAGTTTCCGAATTGTGACAGCCTTGTCTAATTTCCATGAGTGGACGTGCTTAGTTTGTCTTCTGACCTTGATTTGGACCCACACGAAAGCTCTTGTTTTGGCTAACTCAGTCATAGGTTGATTCAGATGATCGGAAGCGTGATGATTAAGTACTTTGTTGTTCATTTCGAAAGCCTCCTGAAGTTGTTTGGTGTAATGTTATTACAACAAATGCTTCATTTCCCAGGGTCAGCCAGCTGGTATGCCCACCCATATCTATCAATAGTGATGATGTACGCACGTTCTTTAGAGCTTACTTAGTAGAAAGGGTAGAGAGTAAAGAAGACTAGAAGAATGTAGACTGTACAGAAGTGTAGAGAACTCTGTAGTTGAATTGAGTGTTAAGCAGCACAAGTCAGTGAGAAGTATTCAGTGAGAACCTGAGAGATTAACCAGAGTTACACTGAATAAAGTAAACTTGGGTTTAAGTAGAAGTGTGTACTGGAGAACCGACTAATTAAAGAAAGAAGAAAATAACAGTTCAAGAGTCTTGGTGCCTTTCGCTGGGCATGGTTTCCTCGCTAGCTATTTTTCCCTTGACATTTGAAAACGTTTCAAAAGTCCTTTTGAGAAATGAATAAAGGCTGATAGTTTCGAAAGAAACTGTTTGGGGCTGCGTCGGTGGGAGTAAGGAAGTAATTTGGACATATCAACAAAGTTGAAATGGTAAATTGGCCACCGTAATGAGAAATGGCGCGGTTTAGCCGTTTTCCAGACAACCACAACCGCCGTTCGTCGTTCACACGCTCTTTCACCCGCCTTCACAGCTTGAGGCCTTTTGAGAAATGGTTTTTGTTATGCGACTGCCTTTGGTGAAATCACAATCTGGAAATTACTTGTCGTTCCAGGGAAGTTTACCTATATTATTTTCCAGGCCTTCAAGCTGTGAAAGCGGGTGAAAGAGCGTGTGAACGACGAACAGCGGTTGTGGCTGTCTGGAAAACGGCTAAACCGCGCCATTTTTGGAGTATGCTTTTTTCACTCGTTTCCACCTTCCGAGAGCTCGGCACTGGCTAAGTTTACCAACGAGCCTCGACCTCAAGTGGGCCTGTAGCCTATTCGCACTTAACTGAGCTACCAACGGGGCTGATTTTGTATGATTTCCTTTTAAAATAAATTTTCGAAATCACTTCGTGTGTACAAAAACAATTATTTATTTTTGATTCTCGACGATCAGTGATAGAATCACGGTCAATTTTTGGGTTTGTGCACACATTCGGTTTTAATATCCCCGTCCGTTTCCTCTGCACGAACACCCCCCTCATGTTGTTGTAAATTCTATTTTGCTGTCAGCAGTCCGTTAAAAGATTTATCCATCTGCTATGATTTCTCTTCAGATGTGAATGAGGCCCCAATAGGATTATGCAATGCACCCATAATCATTGGTGTGAAGAGATCAGTTGGTGCAGTGATTGCAGAGCTACAGGGAGATGATCCTGATAACGAAATTGTCATCCAGAATAACCCTTCAAAACAGAGTGTGATCGTCAGGAGTAAACAACAACTGACATACTCATTGAGCCCTCAACAAAATCCCTGGCCGTTTGGAATTAAAAGTAATAGTCTTTTCAAGAGTGCGGTGAGTGTGATGTACAATGATATCCCCCGCGGGCGTGGACACATCAGTTTACCGCTGGGTTAAGCTCCGGCTAGATGGGCCACTTTTCCCCTCCCCCTCCCCACTCCGTGATGTTTTTGTTTTCACTCGTGTGCGTGATTTTTTGTAAATTAGCCAAACACGTCGAGGGGCTTTGGCCTTCACAGTGGAATCTATCTAGCGTGGACATTTTCTCGCGCGTATTTTAGTTGTTTTTCTTTACGGAGTTTACGTATGATGCACGATCCTCGCAGTAGATAGCGCTATTTAAGCAATAGCGAAAATCAGACCTGAAAAAAATCAGGCCTGTACGGGATTCGAACCACTGACCTCTGCGATACTAGTGCAGCGCTCTACCAATTGAGCTAACAAGCCAACTGGGAGCAGGCCGTTAAGTTGATTCGTAATAAACCCGTGAAAGTGATAAATCAGATACAATGAAATATATGAAGTTCATATATTTTGAACTGCGGTATTAGATACGTATGATGCACGATCCTCGCAGTAGATAGCGCTATCTACTGCGAGGATCGTGCATCATATGTATCTAATACCGCAGTACAAAATATATGAACTTCATATATTTCATTGTATCTCATTTATCACTTTCACGGGTTTATTACGAATCAACTTAACGGCCTGCTCCCAGTTGGCTTGTTAGCTCAATTGGTAGAGCGCTGCACTAGTATCGCAGAGGTCAGTGGTTCGAATCCCGTACAGGCCTGATTTTTTTTCAGGTCTGATTTTCGCTATTGCTTAAATAGCGCTATCTACTGCGAGGATCGTGCATCATACGTATCTAATACCGCAGTTCAAAATATATGAACTTCGTATATTTCATTGTATCTTACGGAGTTTAGTTTGGTTGTTTTTGAGTTTTGGTTCATGCTCATTTTAATCCCTCAGTTTGGAATTTTTAAAAAGTTTCTGAAGTTTTATTCAAACCGAATTTTGTGATTATTTTAATTACATATTTTCTACGGAGTTCAGATTCTAGCCTCCTTTTTCGCTATTGGATTTGTTTTTTTTACAATAAAATTGGACATTTGTCATTTGTTGCACCTGTTAACTCCTTACCATGTTTCCTCCCATTTCTTTTATTTTTCTCAGACGATTGTCTTAATTTTTCAGGAGATATCCCAAGCTCAAAATTTCACAATAAGCGTGGAAGTTAAGGATGATGGTATCATTGTTGGAAGTTTCTCTTCCATGGGATACAAGTACATCAAGAGCACTCCCTTATCTACTGTCTTAAACTGCACCATAATTGTTTCAGGTATGATGCAAATAAATTATCCTGTATTTTGTCAAGTTTCCCAGATCGCACTTTTCAACTCTGTCTACCGTAGCATTAGCTTTCATATTCTCCCCACTGTTGTGTATGCATTCCCTATGGTACTGACGAGGAGAATTTGTTTGATGGTCAGGAGCTTCTCAAATTAATGATCATCTCCTTCATTCTCATTTTTTTTTACATTTCTTTAAAGGGTGGTACTGTACGGAGAAATTAGAAGCCAGACACACTCCAACGGATTAAAGAATTAATTAAAAATTACATTGTTTACGGAGCATACTTTTACTTTGTATTAAACATATTTGTATTTTTTTCTCAGAGTATCAGCCGACAGATGAAATTCTTCTTCAACCCAGTGAAGTGTCCATTACAGCCAATGATGGTTCCCTGGTTGGCACCTTGACAACAATGACTCAGAATCCAGGAGAAAATTTTGTGTATGAACTCGTGGATCAGGCACAATTACCTTTTAGTGTAATCGGAGACAGGCTTGTTGTCTTCAAGAAGGATGGTCTGGATTTTCACGTGTCAAGCGCCGAGGAAGCTTTGATTCCGGTTTCTATCATCAGTAGGGGCAACATGTCTGCACCAGTAAGGGGATCGTTCTACGTAAGGATTATAGGTGAGGGGATGAAGTTATATTATTGGAAAATAGGTGTATTTTGTGTGCACTCAGCTGGGTTTTGTTCAACTAGATTTTCACAAATCTAATTAAAGTGGCTGGCTCAAAATGGTTCTGTTAATTATAATAACATATCCTTTGATGGGTCGTGGCTTCCACACTTTTATATTGGTTTCCTTGGAAGTGGTTTCAAAACAATGTGCGATTCTTTCTCAACAAGTTGTGATAATTTTTTTGACTTTAAAAGCTGCCTTAGTAACACCAAAACCTTCTAAACAGACCGTTAATTGTAGTTAAAAAGCAAACTCGGTAGACCCTATTCGCTGAATTGCCATTACTACATCAAGATTTATCGTGAGAAAACTTGAGAAACAAATCTGTACTTAAGGTTCAGAGCTACTTTAAATTTTTGACAGTTTTAGGCAGCTATTTGTGCCTGTGTTAATAAATTTCTTTTTTTTTTTCCTTTTACTTCGATTTTAGATGACAGGCCTCATCCCGTCGACATCTGTTTGAATCCTCACACTGTCCATGAAAATCAACCACCAAGTACCACTGTGGGTCAACTGACTATCGACGATTCATCGTCGCCGATATTTTCTTGTGGTAAACAACGCTGTTGCAATGATTATGGCAGGAATGCTAATTATAAGTGTAAAGTGGACACTCCTAAGAACAACTTGGTTGTTCCCCAGCTTCAGAGGAATGTGAGTGCACTGTTCCGACTCGATGATGAAGATCGTCTCGTTACTAAGGTCCCATTGCAGCGCAACGACTTCAATGAGTCTAATGGAACTGTGCATGTTCACTTCAGCTGTTATCAAGTCAGTAAACCACTTCACTTCGTAGGGAAATCACTCCAAGTTGTTATCACAGGTAAAGTTTGGTGTAATGTGAAAGGTATCTTTGGAAACCACTCAGGGCGCGGTAGCTCAAAGGGCGAATCACGCTATCCAACATATAAATCGCTGTGAAGGTGTAGTCTGATCGTCCGGGTGAGTGTAGTCCTGAGAAGGACTGTTGTCGGTGGTAGTGACTGACGTTTCGACAACCTGTGCGGAAGTCATCATCAGAGTCAAGTGAATGATTGTTGTCAGTAGAATGTTCTTATTCCAGTTCGTGTGAAATGATCGGTTGGTTTTGCCGTGATGTTATTGGCTGTAAGACTCAAGTGACGTAAGTCGGTCGTGATTGGTCTGTTTCGATCTGTCGGTAAAGTTAGGTCGTTCTTTTTCGGTCGTTTGTGATGTTTATGTCGTGAATGAGTCGTTTGTATGGGGCGGGTAGTTGTTGATATCTGTTTAGGGGAGTCTGTTCTATGTTAGTAAACCAGCTTTCCAGAGTCAGTCGTTGAAAACAGTCAGTGCTGTAGGTTAGTCATCATCAGAGTCATCATCATGACTCTGATGATGACTTCAGCACGGGTTGTCGAAACGTCAGTCACTACCACCGACAACAGTCCTTCTCAGGACTACACTCACCCGGACGATCAGACTACACCTTCACATGTTACCCCCGGGTTCAAACCATTTACTGCATT